CAGCAGCAGCAGCAGCAGCAGCAGCAGCAGCAGCAGCAGCAGCAGCAGCAGCAGCAGCAGCAGCACGCACATCTGGCGGGCGCAGGCCCCTTGTCCTTGCCCCTCCTTTTGCCTTCTGTTGTCTCTTCGAGTCTTTCGAAGACTCCGCCCTGGCCGGCGTAGCGGTCGTCTCTGCTGCTGCCGCCTTCGCGCATGCCGCGGCCCTGCAGCAGCAGCAGCAGCAGCAGCAGCAGCAGCAGCAGCAGCGGCAGCAGCAGCAGCGGCGGGGGCGGTGGGGGCAGCGGCAGCAGTGCGGCGGAGCTGAAGGTGAGGGACAAAGGGGGGCAGCAGCAGCAGGGGCTGAGTCAGCAGCAGCAGCAGCAGCAGCAGCAGCGGGGAGGGTTTAGCGCAGCAGCAGCAGCTGCTGCTGCTGCGCTAAACCCTAAACCCTAAACCCTAAACCCTAAACCCTTAAGCTTCGAGGGTCCAGGCGGCCCACCTTCTGTCGCAACCCTCTGGAGAGGGAGGCAGAGCGGCGGTCTTCTGCTTCTGCCATTTCTGCTGCTGCAGCTGCTGCTGCTGTTCGTCTCGCTGCTGCTGCTGCTGCTGCTGCTGCTCGTGCCGCTGCTGCTGCAGCTATTCTTCCCTGCCTGCAGTTGTTGCCGCTGCAGTCTGTCCCCGATGTCTATATTTGTGGCGAAACGTCGAATGAGGGTTTAGGGTTTAGGGTTTAGGGTTTAGGGTTTAGGGCTTGGGGGAGGCCGACGGCTGGGGCCCCCCGCGGAAGCCCTTGAAGGCAGCAAAGAGCGAGATGAAGCTAAAACCTCTTTTTAGGGTTTAGGGTTTTGCTGTTTAGCTATTGGGGTTTATCTTTTGAGGGTTTAGCCGAGGGTTTTCTCTCGCAGCAGCTGTGCTGCTGCTCCGTGCATGCAGCAGCAGCAGCAGCCCCGAGTGCTGCGCTGCAGCAGCAGGGGCCTCGGATTTGGCAGCAGCAGCACTTTTATTTCGCCTTTTTTTTCTTTAAAATACTTTAAATTAATTTTAAAACAAAAATAAATATTTAAAACTCGAAAAGCAGCAGCAGCAGGCCCTCGACCCGTTGCTGCTGCTGCTGCAGCTGTCTGTACACCCTAAATCCAAACGCACGAAGACACAGAGGCCTATAGGAAGTGCAGCAGCAGCCACAAGAGCAGCAGCAACAGCAGCAGCAAAGTCTGCAGCAGCAGCAACAAGAGCAGCAGCAGCAGCAAAGTCTGCAGCAGCAGCAAGATTCGCAACAACAGCAGCAAGAGCTGCAGCAGCACAGAAGCTGCTGCAGCGAAGAGGGCTCGGGGGTTCGTTACAGCTGAGCAGCAGCAGCAGGCCGCAGCTGCTCCTACTCCCAGCAGCAGCAGCAGCAGCAGCAGCATCTGTAGCTGAAGCAGCAGCGATCTCTGCAACAGCAGCAGAAGTAGCAATCTTCGTAGCAGCAGCAGCAGCAGCAAACTCCGCAGCAGCAGCAGCATCTGTAGCTGAAGCAGCAGCGATCTCTGCAACAGCAGCAGAAGTAGCAATCTTCGTAGCAGCAGCAGCAGCAAACTCCGCAGCAGCAGCAGCATCTGTAGCTGAAGCAGCAGCGGTCTCTGCAACAGCAGCAGTAACAGCAGAAGTAGCAATCTTCGTAGCAGCAGCAGCAGCAAACTCCGCAGCAGCAGCAGCGAGAAACTAGCAGCAGCAGCTGCACCCTGTGTAGCTGCAGCTTCTTATGCTCTCAAGCAGCAGCAAGTGCAAAACAGCAGCAACGCTGCTGCTGCTTCAGCAGCAGCAGCAGCAATGCCGTGCTGCAGCAGCAGCAGCAGCTGCCGCACCCTGTGTAGCTGCAGCAGCAAGTGCAAAACAGCAATAATGCTGCTGCTGCTGCAGCGCCAGCAGCAGCAGCAACGCCGTGCTGCAGCAGCAGTTATTTGCTTCCAGGCACAATCTCGGCAGCAGACAGCTGCTGCGCTGCAGTGTACGTACACCCCACTATCTTAGTGCTGCAGCTACGCCTCAATGCTGCTGCTTCTGCTGCAGCACAGCAGCAGCAAAAAACCCCTCATCCACTGCAGCAGCAGCAGCAGCAAGCCAGCACCCCACAAACCCTGCTGCAGCCGTGCTGCTGCAGCAGCACAGAACCCTCCGAGCTGCTCCATTTTGCTGCTGCCAGACTTCTAAACAAATCCATTTATTAACTAAAGTGCTCATTTGCTGTAAACCAATTCACTCCGCATGCAGCACTGCAGCAGCTGCTGCTGCAGCTGCTGCAGCAGCTGCTGCTGCAGCTGCTGCTGCACTGCAGCAGAGGCAGCTGCTGCTACGGCGAAGCAGGAGCAGCTGCCGCTGCGCCGCAGCAGCAACTGCTGCCTTTTCTATTCACTTGCGGAGAAACAGTTAACAGCAGAAGCAGCAATTGCATGCAGCAGCGTTGCTGCTGCTGCTGCTGCTGCTGCTGCTGCAGCTGCCCACACAAGTGCACCAGGCAGTCAGCAAGCAGCAGCAGCAGCAGGTGACACACAGCAGCACGAAACTAAACAAACAAAAGCCACAAAGGAAATGCTGCAGCAGCAAAGTGCTGCAGCAGCAGCAGCAAGAGGCTGTGGGGCGCGTTGCATGCGCGGAGGCTGAGGTGTACGTACACCGCAGATGGGATCCCCCTCAGAAAGCCGCCGTAACACGGAAAGCAGCAGGCAGTTTCTGCAGCAGCTGCAGCAGCAGCAGCAGCAATTAGCCAAGCCAATCATCTTGGGGGTTTTAGAACCTTCTTTTGAAGGAACAATCACACTGAAAGCAGCAGCAAAGCAGCAGAGGCCTTCTGCGTCCCGCAGCAGCAGCAGCAGCAGCGGGGAGAAGCCAGCAGCAGCAGCCCCGGCGCTGCTGCTGCTGCTGCTGCTGCTGCGGCCGCGCGTGCATGCGGAGCTGCTGCCGCTCGCTAATTAGCTGCTCTTTACTTTGTTTATTTATATTTAATGTTTATAAATACAATTTAAATTAAATTAATGAATTTACTAAAGACATTCCCGCGCTCGCGGAGTCCTCCCCCTGCGGTGTCTGCGCATACACCCCGGGCTTCGATGCACACGCCCCGAGCCCGCTGGCGAACAGCAAAGGGCGTTAGTTTTATTAAAAAGAGAAAAGACAAATAAATGGAGTTTAATTTATGAATTAAACTTCATTAAACTGCAGCAAAAACCCTAAAAACTAATTCCTAGACTCCAATCAGCTGAGCAGTGGCTGCTGCCGCCTGCTGCAGCAGCAAGGCGACAGCTGCAGCCTCCTGCCCTTAGTTCTTTTCCTTTTTTCTTTCTTTTTTTAGTCCCATTTCTTTGTTTTTCTTTTTTAATTCTATGAACGCACCGAATCCTGCTGCGCCGTAGAGCAGCAAAGCAGCAGCAGCAGCAGCAGCAGCAGCGACGACACCAACGGCAGCGCAGCAGCAGCAGCAGCAGCAGCAACGGCACAGGCAGCGCTGCAGCAACAGCAGCAGCAGCCATACAAACACTCCGGTGGTCCTTTTGAAAGCCCTGCGGACTACAGTGTCACAAGCAGGGGCTCTAGCGCAGCGCAGGACCAGCAGCAACAGCAACAGCAGCAGCAACAGCAACAGCAGCAGCAGCAGCAGCAGCAGCAGCGGCGAGAGCAGCAGCTGCGGAAAGAGCGAGAGCCTTAAGCGGCAGCTCTCACAGCAGCGCAAGCAGCAGCAGCAGCGCAGCAGCTGCCACTGCGCCGGTAGCAGCAGCAGCTCACCAACAGCAGCAGCAGCAGCAGCAGCAGCAGCAGCAGCAGCAGCAGCAGCAGCAGCAGCAAAATGTCGCGGGAGCGCACATTTGAAGAGGAAAAGGCATATCTTTACAGAGATGCGAAGCAAAAACAAACTCTGCACATTAAGAAGGGTTTTGTGCCCGGCATGAATGTGGCAGGTAAACCCTGAGGCTGTTGCTGAGGGTTTAGGGTTTACCCAAGGGTTTAGGGTTTAGGGTTTAGGGTTTAGGGTTTGTGCCCTGGGCCTAGGGTTTAGGGTTTGCCCCCTGGACCTAGGGTTGGGGGTTTGCTCCGAGGGCTAGGGTTTAGGGTTTACTCCCAGAGCCTAGGGTTTGGAGACTACTCCCCCTGCCTAGGGTTTAGGGTTTACTCCCGCGGCCTAGGGTTTAGGGTTTGCTGCCGAACCCTAGGGTTTAGGGTTTACCCCACTTCCTAGGGTTTGTGGTTTGCCGCATTTGCAGAGTGCGTTGCCGGCGCGAGCTGGGCTGCTGCTGCGGGTCTCGGGTCTCGGGTTTAGGGTTTAGGGTTTAGGGTTTAGGGTTTAGGGTTTGCGCAGGGGAAGTGTTTGTGAACGACGCGCTCGAGGGTTTGCTGCTGGAAGAGCTGCGAGGGTTTAGCAGCAAAAAGGGTTTTGGGGGTTTTCTTCCTGCGGTCAAACAAGTCGCTAATGTAGCGACTTTGCCTGGCATTCTGGGCAAGAGTGTTGGCCTTCCGGACATCCACGCAGGTCCCAAACCCTAAACCCTAAACCCTAAACCCTAAACCCTAAACCCTAGGGCCTGGTTGGCCCAAGCGCTAAACCCTAAACCCTCGCCAGTTCGCTGCGCTGCGCGCCGCCCGACGCGCGGCTCCCCAAGCCTCACGCAGCCCTTTGTCCAGCCCCCAAACCCTAAACCCTAAACCCTAAACCCTAAACCCTAAACCCTAATCGGCCCCAAACCCTAAACCCCAGCCCAGCCGCTCCTCCGGACGGCCGCCGAGCGCTCCCCCCCTGCCGCACAGCCGTTGCCCCGCCAGCCCGCAAACCCAGCCGCAAACCCCAAACCCCAAACCCTAAACCCTAAACCCTAAACCCTAAACCCTCGTGGCGCGCAGGGTACGGGTTCGCGATCGGGAACGTGGCGGCGTTTGACTGCGCAAACCCTCTTTCAGTGGTTTCTCCGGGCGGCGTGGGCTTCGACATAAACTGCGGAGTTCGGCTTTTGAGAACAAACTTAAAAGAAAAAGAAATAAAAGAAAAACAAGAACTAATTGCTCAAACCCTCTTCGACTTCATCCCCGTCGGAGTCGGCTCCCAGGGGGTCATTCCCTGCAAAATGCAAGGCGAGCCGCTCCACCAGCTAGCTAGCTAGCTGGCTGGCTAGCTGGCTGGCTAGCTGGCTGGCTAGCTAGCTAGCTGGCTGGCTGGCTAGCTAGCTAGCTAGCTAGCTGGCTGGCTGGCTGGCTGGCTGGCTAGCTAGCTAGCGAGCTAGCTTGCTGGCTGGGTAGCTGGCTGGCTGGGTAGCTCGCTGGCCAGCTAGCTGGCTCGCTGACTAGCTGGCTGGCTGGCTAGCTAGCTAGCTGGCTGGCTAGCTAGCTAGCTAGCTGGCTGGCTAGCTAGCTAGCTAGTTTGCTGGCTAGCTAGCTAGCTAGGTAGCTAGCTGGCTGGCTTGCTGGTTAGGGTTGGGTGTGTTGCAAGGGCGTGGGGTTTGTTGGGGGTTTAGGTCCGTTGCAAGGGTTTAGGGTTTACATCTAGGCTTTAGGGTTTACTTCAGGGGCTTAGGGTTTATTTTGAGGGTTTAGGGTTTGTTTCGAGGGTCTAGGGTTTGTTTTGAGGGTTTAGGGTTTGTTGCAGGGCTTTAGGGTTCACTGCCAGTGTTTAGGGCCTATATCAAGGATTCAGCCTTCAGCCTTCAGCCTTCAGGCTTTAGGGTTTAGGGTTTAGGGTTTAGGGTTTAGGGTTTAGGGTTTAGGGTTTAGGGTTTAGGGTTTGTGCAGACTTGGAGTCGGCGTTGGAGTTGGGGGGCGATTGGCTGCTGCGGCGCGGCTACGCCTGGACTGAAGACAAAGAGCACTGCGAGGAGAATGGCCGCATGTTAACAGCAGGTGATTTTGTTTTTTTTGATCATTTTAACTCCTTTTTAAACCCTTTTTTGTGGTTTTGAATCCCCCTTTAGTTCTCTATTATTATTTTGGACTTGTTTTGGCATTTGTAGCTTCTTTCGGCCGTTTTTAGAGCCTTTTAGGTCGCTCTAGATCCTTACAAGGGTTTTGGAGGGTTTGTCAAGGGTTTTGAAGGGTTTTGAAGGGTTTGGGGGGTTTCTAGATTTTCCCAAACCCTTAAAAGTCTTTTTGAAGTTTTCCAAACACCTCCTAAACCCTAAACCCTTTTGAGCCCTTGCAAACCCTTTGAAACCCTCGCGCGCATTTCCAAACCCTTTTGGAAGCTTTCTGATCTTTCTTACCCTAAACCCTAAACCCTAAACCCTTTTAAGCCCTCCTAAGCCTTTCTAGTCCTCCTCAAACCCTTTTAAACCCTCGTAAACCCTTTTGAATCCTTTAAAGTCCTCCTAAACCCTCTTAAACTTTCTTAAACCCTCTTAAACCCTCCTAAACCCTAAACTTAAAACGCTGCTAGCAAACCCTTACTACAGCAGAAGGGCGCAGCGGCGTCGAGGGTTTAGGGTTTAGGGTTTAGGGTTTAGGGTTTAGCTTTTAGGGTGCGGTTTTGCTGCAGACCCTTCGAAGGTTTCAATCAGGGCAAAGAAAAGAGGACTGCCGCAAATGGGCACCCTAGGTGCAGGCAACCATTACTGCGAAGTGCAGGTGCTAAACCCTAAACCCTAAACCCTAAACCCTAAACCCTCGGCCTCTCCAGTGGTTGGGTCGGCTGCACAGCGTGGTTTAGAGCCCATCAGCCGAGTTGAAGAGCTGCGCGTGGACTCTGCAGCAACACGCGAAACTCAGGGTTTATTGTTTAGGGTTTAGGGTTTGGGGTTTAGGGTTTAGGGTTTAGGGTTTGGGGCCGCGGCGACGCAGGTTGTTGACGAGGTTTACGACGAGTTTGCTGCGAAGAAAATGGGGCTGGAGGTTCGCCAATATTCCCAAAATCCCAAACCCTTTGCTGCTGAGCCACTGCGTGGCCTTTGCGCGGCCAGGGTTTAGGGTTTAGGGTTTAGGGTTTAGGGTTTAGGGTTTAGGGTTTGAGGGGAAGGCATAGCTCTAGCCGCGCCTCACTGGGAGTCGTGGCGCGTCGCAGCGCACCTCGAAGCCCGGGCGCCGCGGCGGGTCCAGCCTCGCGTTTAGGGTTTAGGGTTTAGGGTTTAGGGTTTAGGGTTTAGGGTTTAGGATTTGCGTTTCAGAAGGACCAGGTGTGCGTGATGGTGCACTCGGGCAGCAGGGGTTTGGGCCACCAAGTGGCCACAGACGCTCTTGTGGTGATGGAGAAGTCCATGGCGAGAGATAACTTAAACCCTATAGACAAGCAGTTGGCCTGTGCGCGCATAGCATCTCAGGAGGTTTGCAAACCCTAAACCCTAGCTAAACCCTCGCTAAACCCTCGCTAAACCCTAGCTAAACCCTAGCGCGGGTCCTAAACCCTAGCTGTGCGCGGCTGCGCTGCAGTGCTTGCTGCAGTTCAGGGTTTCTGCGGCCTCCAGCGAGGGTTTGTGCGAGGGTTTGGGGTTTGAGGGTTTAGGGTTTGCAGTAGGGCTTTTTTCCCTACGGCTCAGGGTTTAGGGCTCGCAGGAGGGCTTAGGGTTTGCACGAGGGTTTAGGGTTTGGCTTTGTGGGTGGAGGGTTTTCCGGAGGGTTTGTGGGCCTTTCTGGGGTTAGCAGCAACATGCGCAGCGAGTTTGAGAGCTGCACGAGGGTTTAGGGTTTGCCGAGGGTTTAGGGTTTGCCGAGGGTTTAGGGTTTGTGAAGGGTTTAGGGCCTGCCGAGGGTTTGGGGCCAATGGGCGAATCCAGCGTTCAGGATTTGTGGAGGAGGGCGTAGGGCCTTCGCGGGTTGAGGGTTTGTGGAGGGTTTAGGGTTTGTGGAGGGTTTAGGGTTTGTGGAGGGTTTAGGGTTTGTGGAGGGTTTAGGGTTTAGGGTTTAGGGTTTGGCGCTGCAGGGCCAGGACTACTTGGCCACAATGGCTGCTGCAGCAAACTTCGGTTTAGGGTTTGTGGAGGGTTTAGGGTTTGTGGAGGGTTTAGGGTTTAGGGTTTCGGGTTTGGCGCTGCAGGGGCAGGACTACTTGGCCGCAATGGCTGCTGCAGCAAACTTCGCCTGGGTTAATAGAGGGGCCATTTCCTTTTTAGTTCGAGAGGCTTTTGCAAAAGTAATGGGCCAGTCTCCAGACGACATGGACATGCACGTGGTTTACGACGTTTCCCACAACATCGCCAAAGTCGAGGTCCAAACCCTAAACCCTAAACCCTAAACCCTAGACCCTAAACCCTAAACCCTACGCCGTAGCTGGGCGCTGGGGCGCGCCCGCAGCTGCCCGCGCTGCTGCGCTGCGTTCCGCGGCGGCTGCGCTCCCGCCGCGCGCGCGCGCCCCAAACCCTAAACCCCAAACCCTAAACCCTAAACCCTAAATTAGGGTTTGCGCGCAGGAGCACATGTGGGGCGGCAGCGTGCGCACTGTGCTGGTTCACCGCAAAGGAGCCACCAGGGCCCTCCCCCCCCACCACCCTTTAGTGCCTTCGAGTTACCAATTAATAGGCCAGCCAGTCCTTGTGGGGGGCACAATGGGTTCGGCCAGTTACGTGCTGCTGGGGACCCCGGGGGGGCCCCCTGGGCCTCCACCTGCCACGGGGCCGGCAGAGCCAAAAGCAGAAACGCCAGCAGAAACTCCATTCCCTTTCAACAAATCCTCGACCAACTTCAACAACGAAACATCTCCGTACATACACACACAACAACAGGGGCCCCCGGGGACCTGGGGGAGTTTTGGGGAAATGGGGGGGTTTAGGGGATTTGGGGGATATGGGGTCCTTGGTGGGGTTTAGGGTTTAGGGTTTAGGGTTTAGGGTTTAGGGTTTAGGGTTTAGGGTTTAGGGTTTAGTGCTGGACGGAGGTGGTGTGGTTCTGTTGACTTGAGTTGTTACATGGGGAATTTTTGCAGTGTTCTGTCTGTGTCTTTTGGCCTTGGCTTCGAGGCTTTGCCGCTGCCGCTGCTGCTGCTGCTGCTGCTGCTGCTGCTGGTTGTGGGGAAAGCGTGTGCTGCTGCTGCTGCTGCTGCTGCTGCTGTCTGCAGCTGCGGGTGGCTTCGCCGAAGCTGGTGGCAGAAGAAGCTCCAGCTTCTTACAAAGACATTTCGGAAGTTGTTGAAACTTGCCACCAAGCTGGGATTTCCAAGAAGTGCGTTCGACTTCGCCCAGTGGCTGTCATCAAGGGCTGAATCCACGCAGCAGCAGCAGCAGCAGCAGCAGCAGCAGCAGCAGCAGCAGCGGCGGCAGCAGCAGCGGCAGCAGCAGCAGCAGCAGCGGCGGCAGCAGCAGCGGCAGCAGCAGCGGCAGCAGGAGTTGTTTGGAGGCACGCAAGGCAGCAGCGCAGACGCAGGAGGGTTTGCTAGATGGATGGCGGGCCCTGCAGAACCCTAAACCCTAAACCCTAAACCCTAAACCCTAATTTTCCAGGGCTTTTAGGCACTGGCCTAGGACTGAGTCTAAGTAAGAAGTGGGACCCCCAAAAACATTTAAATAAACCCTATAGGGCCCCCTAAATGTTTTTAAAGGCATTAGAGTCATTTAAGGGGCCCCAAGGGCCCATTTAAATACAATTAAATGCAATTAAATGCAATTAAATGCAATTAAATGCATTTTAGGCATTTAGGGGGCCCCAAAGGTCCATTTGAATGCCTCAGGGGGCCCCATCTTTGATTAAATGGTCTTTTGTGTCCATTTAAATGCCTTTAATGTCTTTAGAGGCATTTAAATTGACCCATTTGGCCACTAAATGCCTTTATTGCCTTTAGTGTCTCTCTAGGCATTCAAGTGGCCCTGGGGGCCCCCAGGGGCCCCCCAGGGCCCCCTGGGGGCCTTCAAGTGGCCCTGGGGGCCCCCAGGGGCCCCTGGGAGCCTTCAAGTGGCCCTGGGGGCCCCCAGGGGCCCCTGGGGGGCCCCTGGGGGGCCCCTGGGGGGCCCCTGGGGGCCCCCAGGGGCCCCATGTGTGAGAGCAGGAGGCTCTAGTTTAGGCCATTTGGGGATGGCCATTTGTTAGTTTGGCAGCAGCAGCAGCAGCAGCAGCTGCTGCTGCTGCAGCGGGCCACACTAGCGTGCTGCTGCCGCTGCTGCTGCAGCAGCAGCAGACCACAGTAGTGTGGCTTCGCTTTAGCTGCTTCCGCTGCTGCTGCTCCTGCAGCAGCACTGCAGCAGCAGTGGGTCTTTCTTTCATTTGTGGATTCTTGCTGCAGACTTGTAAATTAATTATTTATTTTTAAACAAATGAAATACTTTTTTAATCTCAGAGTCAATCAAAAGGAATAATAATTTATTTTCTAAACTTCTTTATCTTAAAAGCTCTAAGTAATAAATAGAAGCCCCACTGCCGCATGCACAGCAGCAAAAAGATATTTCATTTTCCCAATTTGCTGCTTCAAAAGCCCCCATATAAAAGTCCCAAATGGCCAGTCTTTTTCTTTTCCCCCAATTAAAAAAAGAACCCCATTCTATCGACAGCTGTGCTGCTGCTGCTGCTGCTGTTGCTGCTGCTGCTGCTGTTGCTGCTGCTGCTGCTGCTGGGACCCTGCCTGCTTTTGCTTCCACAGGGAAGGGGGGCCCCCTATTAAGACTTAGTGCAGCCATTTGCAGCAAACCTTAAGACTATTTTGAAGTGCTGCTAGGGTACAGGGGCCCCCCTGCTCAAAATGGAGGGCTTGGGGGCCCCCGCTGCAGCAGCTGCAGCAGCCGCAGCAGCAGCAGCAGCAGCAAACTGGGAGAAGTGTGTGTTGCTGCAGTCGCGGCTAGTTCTGTGGCCTACCTGCTGCTGTGCAACTTGGCTGCCATAGTTAAGAGAACAGGAATTGACTTATTAAGACAAAAAGTTGAATAAAATGCCGAATAAAATGCTAAATAAATTTGATTTTTAAATGTAAAAATGCAGAAAGTTGAGACTTGGTGAAGTTTCTTTACCCTGCAAATAACTCAGTGGATCTGATTTGGCAAACTTTGCAAATTTTCCACTTCGTCGCTTTGAATTTCAAGAAGTGGAAAGGGCTCGTGCATGCTTTCGGGTCTTTCAGAATTGAATTAAAATATTTAAATATATAAAATAAATTAAAATGCTTTTAAATATCCCTTTTTTCGTCTTTTAAACCGTTGGAAATGGATCTTTCAACTACAGGTGCCAGCTCGCAACGCCCAATGTCCTGTGTAAACTAACTGGATTTCGAACTGCTCTTTCCTTTGATTATATAAATATATAAATATAACAAATATAATGAAGATAATAAATGTAATAAACATAATAAATATAATTCGCCAGGCATGTGTAGAAGGCACTTCGCTGCAGAGTTTGAAACTCAAAATCGCACTGAGGGGGAGAATCAGGATCGCACGAAGTGCAAGTTGGGACAAAAAAGGAGCAGATTAAAATATTATAAATGCAAATTCCATTTTTATTTATAATATTTAACTCCACTTTGTTTTTAAAATATAAAAAGGAGCTCCAGTTGTTCGTTGATTGTTTCCGCGTTCATAGCTCCTGCCCACAGCATCCATGAGCGTTGCCACACAATTGGGCGAAAGAGGAATGAAGCACTTAATTAAATTCCTCCGTTTGATTGAATTTTAGCATTTAATTGAATTTTAACATTTAATTAAATTCCATAATCTAGAAAAAGGATAATCTTCGCGGATTCCCCATTATTAGGGGTGGGGGCCGGTGGTTGCAGCTAATCTGCACCACAGCACAGAGTTGAATGCGCTGTGTTCGCAGCTGCTGTTCTCACTCGCCTGAAACCCTTTTAAATTCCACTTCTTGCAACACTTTTAATTATTTTAAATTATATTTTTTAGAAAAAGACTCAAAGCTAGCTCTGCTGCAGATCACTTGTTTTCAAAGTCCTCAGAATTTCACGTTTGGGGGGCCCCTGGCCTTCAACTGAGCCACCAGAGCCAACTGTGGGCTCCCCCACACAAGAGATTTCCTCTAAATGAAACTGCTGCAAAAGGAAATAGAAATATGAAAAGGAAAAGAAAGAAAACAGTTAAATATATCGGAGTTTCTGTTCAAATGAAAGCTCGAAGGATTCCTCAAGCATGCAGCAGAGGGGCTGGAACTGCGAGTGCGACGGCGCCGGCACTTGACGAAAAAATTGGCATTTTGCGGGAAAGAAAGTGCCTTTTTGGAAGTTTTAATTCCACTGAAATTAAGATATTCAAAAGTGTTTCAAATAGTTTTGAATTTGGGACTTTTTCCGGAAGTTTCAAAGCATTCGCGCGACAACCGGCCCCAGAAGAGTTGAGTACGCACTGCTGCAGCTACCTGTAGATCTGGCTGCCACTCTGCAAAATGCAGGCAAACAACTCATTTAAAAACTTTTTAAATTCACATATTTAGAAGAAATTTGTGTTCAAGTTCCTTTTTCCTTTCAAAAAAGGAAACTATGAAAGATCTGACACCCACTACGGGTGGGTCGGAGCCCCGACAGCTCAGTCAACCCTACACGCTGGCGGCACTTCCTGCCTAATTGACTTTATATAATATAAATATTCCATTTAAATATTATTTTCACAAAATAGGCCACTTCAGGCCCATAAAAAGCCTCTGAAAACCTCTCAAAAGACCCCAGCTGCTTGCTGCAGCTATTTGCTGCAGCTTGGCTCCCAAGAAGCTGCCTCAAAGACCCAGAAAAGAGCCAAAGACGAATCTCAAAGTCTCATAGAGACAAATTAGGGGCCCCCTGGGGGCCCCCCACAAGCTTTTTAGGGGCCCCTAGGGTTTCCTCGGGGCCCCCCACAAGCCCTTTAGGGGCCCCTAGCGCGCCCTGGGGGGCCCCCCAAGCCCAAACGGGGCCCCTAGGGTTCCCTGCGGGGCCCCCACAAGCCTCTAAGGGGCCCCTAGGGCCCCCCCGTGGGGGCCCCAGAAGCTCCTTAGGGGCCTCTAGAGCTCCCTGTGGGACACAAGCCCACTATGCCCCTATAGGACTTACTGTGGGGCCCCCAGAAACCCCACGGGGGCCCCTAGGACTTCCTGGGGGGTCCCCAGAAGCTCCTGGGGGCCCCTAGAGCTCCTTGGGGGCCCCCCCACAAGCCCCTTTGGGGCCCCTAGGGCTCCTGGGGGGCCCCCAGATGCCCCTTGGGGGCCCCAGGGGCTGCATGGGGGGCCCCCAAAAGCCCCTGGGGGGCCCCTAGGGCCCCCCGGGGGGCCCCCAAAGGCCTTATGCCGTGGCAGTTAAAGAGTTTTTTCGACGGAGAAGTTCTTGAATAAAGAATTTGTTTTTAATTATTTTGTGATTGTCTTCAGAATAAAATAATTTAAACCATTTATAATTTAAAACATTTCCATTAAAGCAGCAACTTGAAACAAATGTTGCAGCAAAAGCCCGGGCTTTGCTGCCAGCAAAAGGCTGCAGCTGCAGCGCCTGCTGCAGCAGCAAATGGCTGCAGCAGCAAAGGCAGCAAAAAGCTCCCAGAAAAGGAAAGAAATGCATTTATTTGATTTAAACTTTTAAATATTTTTAAAAGAATAAAATCAAAAGATTTGCAAAAAAGCTTTTCCTAATTTTATGGCCACAGCATCTTTGGAATAGATGCAATTGGACTTCTCTGGAAGTAAAAAGCAGTTCTTGTTTCGCAATTTGTGCAATTAATTAAATCAATTAAATCAGTTGATTTAATTGAATTAAATAATTTAATTAAATTAATTTAATTAATTAAATAAATGTAATTAATTAATTCAATTTGGTTAATTCAAATTATTCAACTTCTGCAGTTTCGCGTTCTCGGGTTGCAGAGGAAGCAAAGACTGCGGAATTCGTCGCGGATTTTAATTTTTAATTTTTGATTTAATAAATTAGAAATAAATAATTAATTTTAATTCTTTGTGAGTGTCTTTTGAGGCCAAAGAAGGCGAAACTGGAAGCAGCAGAAGTGCTGCTGCTGCTGCTGCTGCGGACTCGTGCTGCAGTTGCTGCTCTAAGGCGGGCTAGCGCAGGCTGCTGCTGCGCGCTGCTTAGCTGCTGCTGCTGCACACAAAAGCAGCAGCAGCAGCAGCAGCAGCGCTGCAGCAAAGGAGGCGCAGCTAAACAGCAAGCAAATCCTCGAAAGCAGAGCCCCGGGATCTGCTGCAGCACTAAGAAAGTGTAAGAAGTGAACTTGCATGCATGCAAGAGCTGCAGCAGCAGCTGCTGCAGCCTTTTGGGGAGTGGGAAGCAAAGGGAGTTCTTAAGAAGTGCAGCAAAGAGGAGCTGCTGCTGACTCTCTGGGGCGCAGCAGCTGCTGGCCAGAAGCAGCAAGCAGCACAGCAGCAGCGCATGCAAAGGAGAGAAGCCCTGCTGCTCAGCAGCAGCGGGGAAGCAAAAGAAACGGATTTCAGCAGCGCAGCAAGTTGCTGAGCAGCAGCAGCAGCTTGCTGCAGCGGCAGTAGAAGGACAAGGACAGACACAGCAGACACACCTGAGGGGCGTGCTGGTGGGGCTGCAGCAAAGCCTTTTAGCTGAAAAACAGGCAGATAAACAGCAGCAGCAGCAGCAGCAACGGAGGTAGCAGCAGCAGCAGCTGCTGCTGCGTCACACAAGCAACCACGCCAGGCTGTCCGTACACCCCAGCTGCTCCCGCGACACCCTTTCAACTTCTTCGCAACTGCTGCTTCTCATTTTTAACTTCTTTATTTTGCAAAAAGTTTGAATAGGCACTCCCCATCCAGCCCCAGAGGCGCAGCAGCAAGAAGGCCTGCCGCTGCTGCTGCGGCTGCTGCGGCTGCTGCTGCCGAGCAGCAGCGCGTACACCAGTAACGAAAGCCGCAAAAAAACGGCAGCAGCAGCAGGAATAAATACTAATATTTAAATGCTGCTTGCTGCTGCATTTTGCTGCTGCACATTGCGGTGAGGCTGCTGCAGCAGCTGCTGCTGCAGTAGCGGGGTCTGGCAGGGATCAGTGCCCCTAGCCTCATGCTCAGCAGCAGCAGCAGCGGCAGCAGCTGCTGCTGCGGTGGAGGAGACCCCTTTGCCCAGTATTGTCTTTGCTGCTGCTGCTGCATTGTGAGCTCCTGCTGCCTTTGCTGATCTTTCTTCAAGAGATCTCTTAACCGCGGTTGTCTCCCTGGGGACTTCAGGTCTCCAGCAACGCCTTTCAGCAGCAGCAGCAGCAGCAGCAGCTGCTGCTGCTGCTCGAACTGCAGCAGCAGCAGCAACGCAGCGGCAGCGCACGGACCGAATATACGATTCTTGCTGCTACTTCTGGACTCTGGGCTGCTGCAGCAGCGGAATTTAGCGGCAGCAGCAGCAGCAGCAGCAGCAGCAGCGCCGGCTCCTTCTGCGGCCGATATGCCACCTCCCAGGGGCATTCAGCAGCCGCAGCAGCAACAGAAGGCGCAGCAGAAACAAGTGGGGGTGCCACGGCTGCAGCAGCAGGTGGGCAACTAGCTGCGAGTCCGTGTGCTGCTTTTCGCGCTGCTGCAGCAGCAGAAGGCTCCGCAGCAGCAGCAGCAGCAGCAGCCTCAGCAGCAGCAGCAGCAGATGGGACCTGCAGCACCAGCCTCAGCAGCCCCCTGCAGCCCCATAGCAAACACGCGCCCGCCTGCTCCATGTGTCTCTTAAATTCGACAGGAGCATCAGCGACAGCAGCAGCAGCAGCAGCAGCAGAAGCAGCAGCAGCAGCAGCAGCAGCAGCAGTGTGCACGTAGCCCGGTCGACGCCTCACCGTCCTTTTGCGCATGCAGCGCCCAAGTGAGCAGCAGCAGCAGCTGCTGCAGCTGCAGCAGGAGCTGCAACAACAGGAGGAGCAGCAGCAGCAGGAACTCTACGCCGGCGAGCCCCAAGAAAGTGGCCCGCAGCAGCGGGAAGAGGAGGGGAAGCAGCAAGAGCAGCAGCAGGAACAGCAGCAGCCCGAGCAGCAGCAGCAGGAACAGCAGCAGCCCGAGCAGCAGCAGCAGGAGCAGCAGGGAGAGCAGCAAGCAGGCGCCTGCGACGGCAGCCAGCAGCACAAAGGGGGCCTCAGCAGCGACGATGGGGGCCTCTTGATGCTGCAGCAGCAGCTGCAGCAGCAGCTGCAGCTGCAGCAGCAGCAGCAGCAGGAACCAGCGCTGAAGCAGGAAAACCCCGCACTCTCCCAGGACGGGCCGGCTCAGGAGCGGCTGCAGCAGCTGCAGCAGCTGCAGCAGCACCAGCTGCAGCAGCTGCAGCAGCACCAGCTGCAGCACCACAACCTCCAGCAGCAGCACCACCTGCAGAGGCACCACTTGCAGCAGCAGCAGATGAAGCAGCAGCAGCAAGACGCGTATGAGTCCAGCAGCAGCCCAAGAGCTCCTGGCGATGACTTTGCAGAGTTCTCCAAAGGAGAGAGGGATGTGTTTGCTGTTTCAGGGTGACTGTTGTTGCTGCTGCTGCTGTTGCTGCTGCTGCTGTTGCTGCTGCTGCTGTTGCTGCTGCTGCTGTTGCTGCTGCTGCTGCTAAGCCGACACCGCCGGCGCCGGTAAGTAGCTTGCGGTCTGTGTGCTGCGCATGCGTTGCTGCTGCTGTTGCTGCAGAGAAGGAGCAGAGCAGCAGCTGCAGGCTGAGCCGCAGCAGCTCGTGCTGCAGCATCTGCAGCACCTGCAGCAGCTGCAGCAGCTGCAGCAGATGGCGTCAGATGTGCTGTGGACCAACGACAACAGGCAGCAGCAAACGCTGTCTTCTTTGGGGCCCGATTACGTTCTGAAGCTGCTGCTTCTTCAGCAGCAGCTGCAGCAGCAGCAGCAGGTACAGCAGCTGCATGGGCAGCAGCAGCAGCAGCAGCAGCAGCAGCAGCAGTTTGCCATGCCGCAAACCCCGCAGGGCCAGGGCGTAGACGTTTCCAATGGCCTGTCGAGTTGCGGCAGCGGGATGGACCCAGCAGCAGCAGCAGCAGCCTCTGTTGCAGCCTTCAGCGACGGCGACATGCAGCAGCAGCAGCAGCAGCAGCAGCAGCAGCAAACAGAAGGTGCTGCAGGGGCCCCCCTCGGCGCCTCCCCCCTGTGGGGCCCCCCAAACCCTCATAAGAGGCTGCGGCGGGGCAAAAGGGGGGGCAGAAATAAACAAAAGAGAAAAGAAAGAGGAGCAGCAGCAGCAGCAGCTGCTGCTGCTGCTGCTGCGCCTTTTGACTGCGCGCAGGAGGCCTCGGGGGGCATTGACCTGCAGCAGCTGGCTGCTGCTCGCCCCGAACTCCTGCTGCTCGCCACGCGGCTGCTGCAGCTGCAGAAGCAGCAGCAGCAGCAGCAGCAGCAGCAACAGCAATTCAGAGAAATGCTGCGTCTGCAGCAGTCAAGGGATTTCATGAGGGCGCAGCAGCAGCGCCAACAACAGCAGCGGCAGCTGCAGCAGCAGCAGCAGCAGCAGCTGCTGATGCAACGGGACAGCTACCAGCGTGCTGGATACACCACTGGCTCAGTGGGCCCTCGACAGCAGCAGATGCAGCAGCAATTGCTTGAACAGCAGCTGCAGCAGTTGCTGCAGCAGCAAGTGCTGCTGCAACAGCAGCGCGGGCTCAGTTGCCAGGACGTGGTTCTCAGGCAGCTGCAGCAGCAGCAGCAGCAGCAGCCGCAGCAGCAGCCGCAGCAGCAGCCGCAGCCGCAGTACGTTCTGCAGCAGCAGCAGCAGGACCAGCAGATCTACATGAGAGACGGCAGACCTGGTCGCCTGCAGCCTCAGCAGCAGCAGCTGCAGCAGCAGCTGCAGCAGCAGCAGCTGCAGCAGCCGCAACTGCAGCAGCAGCAGCAGCAGCAAGAGGCACATTCTAATGTGTACTCAGATGATCGGTATCTCTCGGGTGTACGCGACCCCGTAGCCGTTAACAGAGGCGGAGCGGGGGCGCTTTGGGGCCGGCAGCTGCAGCAGCTGCAGCAGCAGCAGCAGCAGCAGCAGCAGCAGCAGCAGCAGCAGCAGCAGCCGCAGCAGCAGCCCCTTAGACTCAACATGAACAACAGCACCAGTGGTCGTGTGTTCGTAGTTTCTGCACAACGGCCCGAGATAGCATCAAGCCAGCAGCAGCAGCAGCAGCAGCAGCAGCATGAGCAGCAGCAAGAGCAGCAGCAAGCAGCTGGCTTAGGGCCTGTGGGGCCCCATGCAGTTCCATCAGGCCTGGATGTGTTGCCTGCTGCGGCTGCAGCTGCTGCACCGTTCTCAGCAGCAGCAGCAGCAGCAGCAGCAGATAAGGACCTCACTGATTTGGCACAGTGTTTCTCCGAGTGCACCATCAGTCCCTGTGAGGGGCTCTTTGCTGCTGCTGCTGCTGCCGCTGCTGCTGCTGCTCCGACGTTCCTGAAGGGAGCAGCAGCAGCAGCAGGGCGGGTGCGGCCGGCGGGGTACTGGAGCAGCGCAGCAGCAGCAGCAGCAGCAGCAGGTCCCGTGGGCAGCGGCTTCGACACCGCAGCCTGCAGCACCAACAGCAGCAGCAACCACAGGAGAAGCAGCAGCCGCAGCATCAGCAGCATAACGAACAACAAGCATGCAGGCGGCTACAGTTTGCTGCCAGAGCCTTTAGAGGAGAACAAGCTGCTGCTCTGACGCTGCTGCAGCAGCTGCGGAGCGGCCAGCAGCAGCAGCAGCAGCAGCAGCAGCAGCAGCAGCAGCAGCTGCTGCAGCAACAGGTGTTTCTTACTTAGTCCCGTCTATCTCTTTGGCCGCGAGCTCAAAGAGCAGCTCTTGTTTCCCTTTCTGTCCGAAAGGGCCCCCTTACTAAGACAGTGGGGGCGGGGGGGCCCCTAAGAAGGCACTGGGGGCCCCCCTGGGGGCCCCCCTGCCAAGGTGTGTCTGTCATTCCCAGGAGTGGCCCTCTGAGGCCCCTTGAGGCCTTGGGCGAGCGGTCGCGTAGCTGTGTCTGGCGGGGGCCCCCGGGGGCCCCCGGGGGCCCCTGGGGGCCCCCGGGGGCCCCTGCGGGGGGGGG